TAGTAGCACCCCCTGGAACGCCAACATACAATTTGTCAAAAGAAATTTCACAAATACTGAGACATCTAGTAGATTCAGCCAAACACTCCATCAAATCTCCAACACAATTCCTGGACCAAATTAAGGATATTCAAATCAACAACGACGAACTCATGATATCCTTCGACGTAACAGCACTGTTCACCTCAATTGAACCACAGCTAGCAAAAGAAACTATATCCCTGCTACTCAACAACGACACAAATCTCACCAAATACGCGACGCTTCAAATTAAAAGTATACTGGAACTCATCGATTTATGCCTAACAACATATTTTCAATTCAACAACAAAATCTACGAACAAACAAAAGGGACACCAATGGGATCACCAATATCAGGACTGATCGCAGAAGCAGTGATGCAAAGACTAGAAGCCACGATATTACCAGTGATCAAGCCAAAAATTTGGATTCGCTACGTAGACGACACCTTTGTCATCGTCAAAATGGATGAACTGGAAAACACATACAAACTGATCAACAACGTTTTCAACGACATCAAGTTTACAATGGAACAGGAGTCAAACAACCAAATAGCATTCTTGAATATATTGATCACTCGAACCGATACAGGAAAACTGGAAACTCAAGTATATAGGAAACCGACCCATACAGATCAAATCCTCAATTACAACAGCAACAACCCAAGAGCTCACAAAATCAACTACGTAAACACATTGTTCAAGAGGGCGAGGACATACTGCAACACACTGGCAGCACGAAAAAATGAAGAGAAATACCTGAGGGACATATTTCAAAAGAACGGCTACCCAATCAACTTCATCAAAAAGCACCAACGGCACACAGCATCAGAACCCAAATCAAGCACAAAAATCAAAAAAAGGATCACCCTACCGTACATACAAGGAATATCAGAAACCACAACGAGACTGCTGAAAACCTTCGGGATAGGTGTGGCACACAAACCAACAAAATCATCACAATCAATCCTATGCAAACCAAAAGATGAAATAACAAAGGAAAACAAATCAAACATCATCTACAAAATAAATTGTACCAACTGCGACAAACACTACATCGGACAAAGCGGACGCCCCCTCCACCTACGCCTACATGAACATCAATTAGCAGTCAAACGCCATGATATCTCTTCACTTATATCAATACACATGGATAACTACGGACATTCATTCGATTGGGAAAATGTAGAAATCTTAGACAGAGGAAACTCCAAAAACACCAGAGAATTTTTAGAAGCTTGGCACTCAAGCCAATCAGCAATCAACAAACATATTGAAATCAATCCAATTTATCAACCAATCAGGAAAATCATGCATAAATATAGGAACAAAAATCAAACCAATGGGAGACACAACCAAAATAAAGAAGTAAACAATGATAAATTTAAGGTCAACAAGAACCAATCAACATCGAGGTGCACAGAACAAGCTGTGAAACACATATAGAGAAATTCGAACACTTCACTTCTATCTGAAGTTTGTGCTGATGATGTCGTTCAGAAGAACGATGAAAGCTCCACGACCAAACCATCCAGCTCAGAGAACAAAACACCACCAAAAAGGAACACACTGAAGCGAATTTTCTATTGACTGTTTATCGTGTAAGGTAGAGCATGTGAAACTGATAATCGCACGAAACCCGGGTCCAGGGTTTCCTGTTGACTACCTCCAACCACCATCTAAATCTCAATACATAGTGCCCGCAGTGTTGAGTCACCTAGACTGGTGGCCACATTGCAACATGATCGATAGCATTCGATCTGCACTTATAAGGACTAGACAAGCATGAGATTGATCACCACCCAGTGATCAATCAATTGTGATTACATCTCAGTCCTACAGGAGGTTAGTCACGGCTCGGATAGCTCAGTGGTAACGTCTCTGACTGTGAAGCTGGGTGACACGAGATCGAATCCGCCAGGGAGCACCAGTTCCCTCAAGATTACAGGTACACCTTGCTGACGAGTGCCAAGTAGCACGAAACCCGGGTCCAGGGTTTCCTGTTGACTACCTCCAACCACCATCTAAATGTTCTTAGGTTCATTAACGTGAGTTATGAACTGGATTTGATGACTGTAGTGGAGGCAGTGAGCAAACTTCCAATCACTTGATTATGAAGGAAGTGGATAAAGATTAATTCTGCCACAGAATGGAAAGGTACTTAGCCGGGATTTTCGAATATCCAAGAATTAATCGATCACAACATGAATCAGTTCCCATGCAAATTTGCCTATATATTGTATAACACTTCGGGCCCTAATGAATTAGTTACCCAAAAACAAGTATTTCCTACAAAGATTGTTGGCGTAGTAGATAAGAAGGTTGAATGTGAGTGAGTAGAGAAGAACGTCATTTAAAGGATTGTGACAAGTTTATCAGCTCACCTGTGCAACGAAGAACGGAGTTTACGATCAAAAACCTGTGTCTCAAGTCTTTAAAAGGTGGATACATAATTACGCAATCTACACTACTTGGGGAACAAATTCATTGTCGTAATCTCCGAGTGAAGGGGCCATTAATACACATGTCAACTGTTTATCGAGTAAAGTGAATCGCATTAGTATAATGTCTGACGCGGAGATTTATGTGACCCTTCAGGGTACAAAAAGTAGACCAAACTCCTTTGGACATAAAAAGCTGTCAGATCAATGTTTACCAAGGGCACGCTTAATAAGTCTAGACTTCCATCCGGTCATCAATACCGCACAAAGGTTGGAATGAACTGAAGCAATTAGTAGACCCGTGAAACCAATAGTATATCAAGCTTACATCAGTTTCTCTTTTCCATAAGGCTATTAGGAAACCTCTGGTTATTTCTGATTGTTTAGATTTAACATGTCTAATGAATGTAAAGGTAAATAAATCCCCGTAACATACAGTTCTTTCGATCGCGCACTCTATATCATCTTAGTTTTATTGGGTTAGAATTTAGTCCTTAGTATTCTCTACATCAGAATGGGATAAATACTTCATATATGACAACTTGAAGTAAGTAAACCTGACTTTCTAAGTACCACTGGATATAGTTAGCTTCTCATTCCCTGAACTAAGGAACAGGCATATTGCACAATTGTGTAGGCCGGTAAGGATTTTAGACCTTCGACAATTTGAATGTTATGTGAATCTCCAAAAACTCCGGAAATAATCAAAGGCAACAAAAGCTGTTCTTCATTTTCCAGGTCGACGTTGGGCTTGACTGTATCGATAAAAACGTGTGATACTTGTAAAAAATTGGTTTGTACATTACTGAGCGATTTGTTTGCCCTTTGATGCTACATGCTTATAGACTGATTTTTCTCTTGGTTCCTGGTTTACTCCTGGTTATTAAAATACGTTTAGACTAATCTGCGAATTGTTGATTCATACATTACATTAACAATTAAATGCTCCTCCCCATAAATATTCGCGGATTTAAATCATCGCCCTCACCAAAAATGTTTTCTGGTCAATTATTTCTTATTGAACGCAAACAGCAATCTATATTGACACTGTTGAAATTGCTTGCAGGGTTTATAATGCAAGCAACGTAAACTGCGTAATCTTGACCAGATAATATCATGTTTCAGCTGATTTTGATTAAAAGCCAGACAATACATCAGTGAACGTGATGAAGAGTGTATCTTTATTCCTCTCAAATCTGACTGATATAGAGAACAAGGTTGAAGTTGAATTAATAATCCCGTAGACATTGTCAAACTAGTATGACAGATGTTAAATAGCCAAATCTCATTCCAGAATTAATAAGTAACGATTCCAAAAGCGGCATGAAACTATCACATGAAATCGAAAAATAAACACCTCGAGTAATCTCCCTCAGTTCTGAATTGAAAGTTTAACTTTTGAAGGATTAATCCTGGGGTGTAATCACTATTACTTCTAGTAAGATATTTCACAAATTGTTAGGTTTGACGGAGAAAATATTTGCTAGCTACTTTATGTTTCATCCTTAATGGAGTTTCCCCCACACATCAGCAATGACAATTTTAAGCAAAATTTTTGGCAATTATGTTTGTCAGCAATACAGTGCACCATAAAAAACCTCTCCGATTCTTCTGTACTGCAGAAGTCTCACGTTCAAAGCCATCAGGTTAGCTGAATAAGGTTCCCTTCTCCTTTCAAATATCTTTTTTTGCTCTTTTCCAAATTCATTTCAAAAACTGTGTTCGCTCTAGAGCAAACAGATATGGCGTCTGGGATTATTTAGAAATGAGATATTAACTAAGCACTGGAGTGACTTTGGATTGTTCTAGAATTCGGATAATTTAAATTTCGAGGAGAAACACTCAGACTACTTTGCTTGTTACAGAATTCTAATAGGGCAGAACACATAGTGTTGAAGATGGCACAGGTATTCAGTGTTTGACAACACTTTAACCACTAACATCTAATATAACTCGTACCTGCCAAGAGAATTCAAAAGACAGAATCAAGGAGATTGGAAAGTATACTTGATGTGATATCAATATATCGAGAATCGTCTGATCAAATCTGGCTAGCGATTGCAGTAGATGTTGAGCATGGCGTTCCCACTCGTGATATGGTGCGGATGCATGACCGAGCTCCTTCAGCTAGGTGGGTTCAGTAAATCATGTGGTCAGCATCCAATGTCGAAAACTTACAGAGCTATATATTTTAGGGATTTATTTACCGCTACAGTGTCATTTACGGTGATTCTCAGGTGGTGAAATATTAATCTGGAAAAGTGCACAATGCACATCTTGGGGATTTCCCCCAACTTGGGAGATTGGATCTATCGCTACGAGGTCATACAGTGTGTGGAAATTAAGCGAGTGACGACTCTTCTCAAACTCTTCACAATGGACGATTAAAACTTATATTGACATTCCTTACTTTAAAGAATAATTAGAATATTAGCACGTATTATTTTTTTGCACACCGATGCCATAGCTGAATGTTTAGATAACAGAGACTGAATAAATTTGACCTCAGCCAACAATACACTTGGCTTTAAGTCATTTGGCGTTTTCTGAAATATGCAGGTCTCCTAAAGGCGCGCCTTGAGGCGGGTCGCTCAAGGTCGCCGGGACGAATAGCAGGTAACTTCATTGAGGCGAACTTTATTTCTCCTACTCCCTTAGTGCCACTAGTTAAACTCAGTGAACATGAGAGATCTGAAAAAAGATGAGTTCACTAAGGTTGTAGCCAAACTACAGAAATAGTAAATTTATGATATATTCCTAATAGCTTTAAGTATTAAGGATGCTGATGAATTATTAAACAGACCAGACGACAAGTACAATTTTTACTACCATCGTGATCGCGTTTTTTATTGCCGGTAAGCTTCAACTAATCTTTCAAAAGTGTACGTTATAAAATTAGTTCGACACTCGCAAAACATGCTGCATCAATCAAAAAGAAACATTTGCTAAGCTTTGGGACTTGTATTGGCCGCTTCTCAAAAACAGGCAACTTTAGACTCCACATAACCGCGCTTGACTTCTTATCACCGTATGCCATGTATCGTGTTTGGTTAAAAGCACCATCTGAACAGCAGTTTCTTTATGGTCAAAATATTTTGAGGTCAGGTGTCGCTAAGATGTCGGACAACACTCCTCAGTACGCCGGTGTTGTTGTAATGAACATGAGTGATATGCCTCTAGTAATGCATCCAATGAAATTTCGTACCTAACCTATTATTTTCAGGGCTTTGGGGTTGCTGCCAAGTCATCCCTACAAGTAAAAAACACTGATCCAATGACAATAACCGTCTTTCACCAAGCTGATATTGGGGAGTATATTCGATCGGAAGAAACTATCGTTTGAAGTATATGGATAACCTTATGTACTGCTTTTTTCTGTTTGTATAAAAACTTTCCTTAAACACCATGTTGTTGGCTAAATGGCTTTAAGATGACAAAAATGTTACTTGGAGATCATGTGATTTTGTTTAAGACAGTAGGTATGTATACAAAACCACCTAGGTATAGGTTTATGTGTCATTAGTCTCAAATATTTGCCTTCCATACTCATCGGGATTTTTATATATGTTCTTGAGTTTGGATTGCATTCCGATAGCATTTACTTTTCTCATTCAAGCCAGTATTATGTGCCACTTCAAAATGATCCAGTTGTAAATGTGCTGCTTTTTGTACTTTAAGGAAATAAATGTTAGCTAAATTCCTCATGTGGCATGGACTACTACATTTTGGAAATTAAAACTGATAATCCAGTTTTAAATAGCTGTAGATCTATGTTTGCGTAGTTCGTAAAGATCAATATCAAAAATAAGTCTTAGATATTGAAGGAAAATTTAGATTTATGTATAGGGCTAAAAATGTGAAACATAGCTTCAGTCTAACATTTGGTAGATTCTGTATTACGTAAATATAAAATTTAAAAGACATGTAAATCGGAAATGTTCATTTCTGGGTAAGTTTATTGCATACTTCATACGTAGTTATATTACTAGGTAAACGGTACTAAGGTTAGGCACTATCTTCTGATCAAGGAGGGTTACCTTTTAAGTTTGCAATTCAAGTTTCATGGGTTATACTACCTATATCAGCTCAGCGACCATTCAAATATGTGGCTTAGTAGTTGAGCTAAGATAGAAGCTAAAGTTAACTAGACAACTGTATGAGGCTGTCCAGATAGATACAAGCTATGGCCTTCACTATGCGAAGGTTGGTTTTATCTTCTAAACTATCGACGTAAACAAATTTTGTTTAGTTAACGGAAACATGAAGTCGTTTGCACATGCCGTAAATAGTCCCAAGTGACCTGCCAATAGTAACCAGGTACTAACTAGTATGGAGTTTGAGTAGTACATACGCCATTTCTTACTTAGCGTAACTCTTTTAACGATTATGCGTTTGCGATCTGTCTTGAGCCACACTTTATCCGAGGAGCATTGAGACAATTTTTTTAAACAGAAGGTTGTACAAGGTTGAAATGCGTGAAGTAGCAGCTCAAGTCCTGACGAATTATCTGCCGTTATTACTCAGTGCAGCAGTGATTCTCACCAACTAATGAATGAAGTGGGCTTCTATGGTTGGTTGGTCTACAAAATATCCCTTCATCGACACTGAACCGGCTTAATGGTATTTAACCTCAGCTAACCCTACCGTTTGTTGTATAAGTGGCGCATTTATGATGCTTCAGTCCATTATTGTGTTTAACGATGTGAAATCAACGTTGGTCTAACAGCTGATGGTAGGTATATACTACTCGTTATTAGTCATGAAGTTTAAACAATCACACAGTAGTTTGCATTCATGTCCCGTCGCCTAATCAAAGCTCGTGAAGAGCAGACTAGAGAAAATCAGGCTGGTTTTCGACCTGGACGTGGTTGTATAGATCAGATATTCACACTACGTCAGGTTCTAGAACACAGACACACATTCAGACGCCCCACAATGGTAGTATTTCTCGACCTGAAGGCGGCATTCGACTCTGTTGATCGTGAGGTTCTATGGCAGTGTTTGTCACTGAAAGGAGTACCAAAGAAGTACATTAACCTTATAAAGGCTCTCTACTCGAACACAACTGGTAGAGTGAGAGCTTATGGCGAACTGTCATCAGAATTGATTACCTCAAGTGGTGTTCGTCAGGGCTGTCCACTCTCCCCATTCTTGTTCAACTTTGTCGTGGACATACTTCTAGAGATAACACTTTCCTCGTCTAGATTTCCAGGGGTTGAACTTCTACCAGGAGGTTCACTTGTTGACTTAGAATATGCAGATGACATAGTTTTATTTGGTGAAGACGCTGACAAAATGCGGAGTCTTCTGACCACTCTAAGCAACAATGCAAGCATGTTCGAGATGCGATTCTCTCCCTCGAAATGCAAAATGTTGCTTCAGGATTGGGTTACATCGACAACCGAACTAGTGATAGGGAGTGAAGTAGTTGAGTGTGTCGATCGCTTCACTTATCTTGGAAGTCTCATCAGCCCTTGTGGTCTGGTGTGTGACGAAATCTCAGCACGGATACAGAAGGCTCGACTAGCTTTTGCCAACTTGCGTCATTTATGGCGTAGGCGAGATATCCGTCTATCAACCAAAGGACGTGTTTACTGCGCAGCAGTTCGTTCCGTCCTACTTTATGGCAGTGAAACATGGCCGGTAAGAGTAGAGGATATCCGTAGGCTACTAGTATTTGATCATAGGTGTCTTCGAAACATTGCTCGTATATCATGGGACCATCGAGTAAGTAACACAGTTGTTAGGAAACGGGTACTAGGTAAGGATGGCAAATCAATTGATGAAGTAGTGAAACTTCATCAGTTGAGATGGCTGGGACACGTGTTACGTATGCCCAACGACCGACTGCCTCGACGTGCTATGTTCAGTGGTATAGGAGTAGGTTGGAAGAAAGCTAGGGGCGGCCAAACCAAAACATGGCACAAGTCCATGAAGTCACTGACAAGTGAACTGAGTCATGTTGGTAGGTGTAGACTACCTGGTTGGGGACCGCGAGATGATAGCAACCGATGGTTAGAGACCCTGAATGACATGGCTCAAAATCGTTTGCAATGGCGCAGGTGCATCCACTCTCTGTGTTCTCTCAAATTCTAATCTTCTGAATTCTTCATGTCCCTTTTTTCCTCTTTCCAAATTTATTTCACTGGATTATACTTATTAAATAACATCTCCAAACCCTAATCTTCCCGATTACTGCTTATACTCTTATTACCTCTACCACTATGGGATTTGAATCGACAACTGCATCTCTGTGCTAATGTGGTGTGGCAACTCGAACTGATGTACGTACGTACGAAGTTCTACGTTGTTACTGACTGACTGACTGATTCATGTCCCGTTCTGTTAACTACAAAATATCACAGTCTCATATTTTTTTCTTTGCTGTTATTTCTGTCTAGTTACATCTCGAGGCACTGTCAGGTATATACGTTGAGAAATGCCTAATTAACGACTGTCCTATCCTAGCTGTGTGAAAAATGTATTTATACCTATTTTGCTTCGTGATTGTCCTCAGTCTCTTCGATGGTTTTAGGATCTAAAAATACAAGTGCGGTTAATATAAGACTTTTTTGGCGGAAAAAATAGTAAATATGCGATTTGGAACAAATTCTGTCTTTATCTCTATAAGAACCATAAACTTCCAGAATTGTGTGAGCTTCGAGCACATGCGAGATATGCTAGACAGAAACGTAAGCTACTCGTGTCACGGAACTTGAATCCCCTTTGTTTTGTACTTTTCATGCTTCCCCTCATATTATCACATCCCTTCAAATTCCACGTCGTGCATTATTTGCCGACTCTGGGACTGGTTGGAAGAAGCGGAGAGGTGGTCAGTGCATGACATGGTGTCGTGGCATGAAAGAAAGCTGCAAAGGACTGGCTTGTGTTGGACCTTCACGACTCCCTGGTTGGGGTCCGAGAGATGGCGCTACACAGTGGCTAGAGACGTTATCAGATATGGCTCAGAATAGAAGCCAGTGGCGATCCTGCTGTAACCTTCTTTTACTTTCTTCATAAAAAGTGGTTGTATCTTCCTTAACTGAAAGATTTCTTCTGATTGTACCTCTTCGTCATTACTCTCTCTTTCTTTTGCGTTCCTTAGTTTTTTTTTTCTTCTTTTTTTTTCTTTCTACTTCTCTTCGAATTCCCATTGTTTTGTGTGGCGCATATATATTGGCGCTCTCTTGTACCAATATTTATGTGTTCAAATAAATAAATAAATAAATAAATCCCTTCAAAGCACCTTGATGCACAACTTACAATTCCTCTTCTGCAAAGTTTTATTTAGGAGGAAATTAGAACTACTTGCAAATAAATTAGTTTACTCTTTAATATGGACTTCATTAAGTTACAGATCTTCTTGTTTCCAGTAAATGGCCGTTTGTTGACTCAAAATTGATATCTGGGTCACATTCTTTCATGTTACTGGGATGAATGGCACAGAACACCATTGAAAATTACGTAAAACCGGTAACCTTAAAAATCATACCGACTATTAGTGTGGAAATGAATTTTCATTATCCCATTTACTTATTGAATATAAGAAAAATTATTCACAGTTCAGATTCATTGCAAATTATTTAGGTGAGTGGTCATTTTATCCTCGGATATATGACTTAACGTTCGTACAACTTTCAAAATATGTAAGGATTAATAGTGGCGTTCTGGTCGTATAGAATATTTATAACTACAAATTATCTTGCATAGTGTTAAGTGCTATATAGTTTTCATCATGATAATCATCGCTATCCAAGTTTAATTCAAGTAAAAGATTAGACATGTTACCGAGACCATGGAAACAAGCATGAAATATTGGTACCAGGATTTTTTTTTAACAAAATCGGATATTCAAAATTTATTCATTTCATTGTTATGACTACTACTACTATTGGTACTAGTTAACAATTGTTTTCCATAATTTCATCATCAAGCTTTAGTCACAATAATTCTATTACATATGATAAAAAGTAAAGAGTATTTCTAAGTAAGTGACTGAATTAAATAATGAAATGTTAATCAGTCAGAAACAACGTAGAACTTCGTATGTACGTACATCAGTTCGAGTTGCCATACCACATTAGCACACAGATACAATTGTCGATTTAAATTCCGTAGTGGTAGAGGTAGTAAGAGTTCGACAATAATCGGAAAGGTTAGGGTTTGAAGATGTTATTTAAGGAGTATAATCCAGTGAAATAAATTTGGAAAGAGAAAAAAGAAAGGGACATGAAGAATTTAGAATATTAGAATTTTGGAGAACACAAAGAGTGGATGCTTCTGCGCAATTGCAAACGATTTTGAGCCATTTCATTCAAGGCCTATAACTATCGGTTTGTATTGTCTCGCGTATCCCAATCAGGTAGTCTACACCTACCAACATGGCTCAGTCCACTTGTCAGTG